GACAAAAATAACCTTAAATATTTGACTTTATAAATTTTTTATTATTTTTTAATTAGCCAAAATATCAAAAAAGAAAAAATAATTAGCCTCACCTAAAAGGTTAGGAATAATGCTATGGAATTGTTTAAAGTTAAATAACTTTAATATTTATTTATTTATAATGTCATCTATATCTCATCACTATTATTCAATAATCTACTAAATTTATAATGTTTTTCATAATTTAATGTTTTTCATTTTTACCAATTAACATAGAAAATTAATATTCTTAATTAATTAAATAAACAAAAGAAAAAAAATATATTTATATTTGAATTAATAAATAATCGAATAAAGATTTGATTTAACTAAATTTTAATTTATAATAAACTAATAAAAAAATTATTTAAGAATATTTTTATTTTTTCAGTTAGATATTAACAAAAATTACTAATAAAACTTGATAAAAGATGAAAAAGTGTTATTTTAAAATTTGATGGGTGAGAAAGTGTCATTTCGCCAACCTTGGGTGGGAAAGTTATGGTTCTCCCTTCTATTGTGATTCCAATCCGTAAAAAACTCAAGACCTTACTTTAATTAATTATTTAATGTGATGTGAGACATGGCAGAAGTTTCGGCCCTAATAAATAGGTGGAAAAAAGTGGGCAGGTTAAAAGAAATCTTACGGACGTAACATTAATCACTATGTTTGGCTTACTATTTTTATCCAGATTCTGGATCTTATTCTCCAAATAATATTTGACACGTTATTTTAAGAATATTATTCTATTTTTTTAATTATTTTTAGATCCCATAAGATTATTAATTTTATCAAATACACCCTAAAAAAAGTTTAAAAATTATCAAAAACACCCCCACAACCCATACTCACCAGATTCTGGCAACCACCGTCGGTGGTAGCCGAAATCTATACAACGGCCAACCTGCCGACCATAAATGGCAGGAAGTTCACCGATCTGGCCTTTTCCGACCAGATCCACCACGGATTTGACCGGAAAAGGCCAGATCTGGCCGTGAACGACGGCCAAAGAAATGGCCGTTGTTGAGGTCAACGACAGCCAAATCTTGGCCATCGTTGACCGAAAACGACGGCCATACCTTTGGCCGTCGCTGACTGACGGCCAAAGATGGCAGTCGTTTTGGCCTTTTTCGACCGTCGACGGCCACGGCAGGCTGTAGATCTGGCCTTTTCCGACCAGATCTGTGGTGGATTTGACCGGAAAAAGCCATAATGACTCGTTACGACACAGATCTGACCGGTCTGTGTCGTAACTCGATTTTCCAGCCAGATTCCGGCGATGGTGGCCAGAATCTGGCACTGCAGGTGGTGGGGGTATTTTTGTCAATTTATATGTTGGGGTATTTATGAATTTAGCAAACTTAGGGGGTTTTTCTATAAATTTTTAAATTTTACCTCGTAATACTCCCCTATTCAATTATCTAATACTATCCCAAAATTCTACCCAAAATAATAAATCAAACGCATACAATATTGTTGTAACCTGTACGAAAAACTCATCAAGTGATTTAAATAATATATTGGGTCTCCAATTCTTCATCTCTTCACCTACCATATATATGGGTAGTTCTAGTCAAAGGTCGAAAGCCAAGTTGGCCGGCTTCCTTGCCTCTGTTACACCTATTTCTTTAAGAAATGGCTTTGTATATGGCATAGTCATGGATTCAACCAAATCGTCCTTCACCCAAAAATCCTCTATTTATTTATTTATGAATATATCTAAACTTTATAAATTATATCTAGATTTAACAAGATTAATCATTTAACGGTGAATTTCTCCTAGTCTTGACATTTTCTCGATGAGTATTAACTATTAAAGAGATAATCCAATTAACAAATTAATTATGTATTTAATTAATTATTATTATTATTAATTTTTTTTTGGTAATTGGGTCGTTCGAGTGAGCTTGCGTATATCTCAATTAATTCATTCTGAGGTCTATTGAACACCTTAGAGCATCTCCAATAGTACTCTTTATTTTGATGAACATCTTCATTAATTTTTAAATATAAAGAACATAATTTTTATTCAAATCCAATAGACTCTTTAAATTTAATGAAGATTCTCTTTATTTAAAAAAAAAAAAAAGACTTAATGGGAGAGAGAATTAATAAATAAAATGCATAGAAACTTGTAATTTATTAATTAAAATTATGATAGAGAGTGAAATTTGACTCTCTAAATGTGAAGAGTCAAACTCACTCTCTAATTTATATTTTAAAGATAAAGAATATATTGGATTCTTATTTTTATGGATAGACTCTTTATAATAAAGAATTTGGGTCATATAAAGAGTCCTTTGGAAATGCTCTTAGAGCATCTCCAATGGTGTTCTTTATTTTGAAGAGCATCTTTCATATAAATAAAGAGCGTCTTCATTAATTTTAAAATATAAAGAACACAATTTTGATTCAAATCCAATAGACTCTTTAAATTTAATGAAGATGCTCTTTATTTTTAAGAAAGAGACTTAATGGAAGAGAGAATTAATAAATAAAATGCATAGGAAATTGTAGTTTATTAATTAAAATTAGGATAAAGAGTGAAATTTGACTCTCTAAATGTGGAGAGTCAAACTCACTCTCTAATTTATATTTTAAAGATAAAGAGTCTGTTGGACTCTTATTTTTATGGATAAACTTTTTATAATAAAGAGTTTAGGTCATATAAAGAGTCATTTGAAGATGCTCTTACAAGTCGAAAAGACAAATGTACTGTTAATTATTATTATAATGCTTTGGTGTTTCACATTCATACTGACATATACAGCACGTCGAACGTGACATTATTTTTTTAATTAGGCCTAAGCAATATGTTGACAAACCACAAATGATAATCTTTATATTATATCAAATTTCAATGACCTAGATGATATTTAATCTTATACTTTGTGATAATCACTAGTTACTATATTGAATTTGCGATCTTTGAGAATCTAAAATTTCACAAGAACGATACACCAAAAACTACCAGCCTATAGGATCGACGTTCAATTCTTCAACCAACCAACAGTTTAATGCTTTTAAAAAGAAATTAAACTTGAAAAACATTCTTGTTGTACCGAATATATATATATATAGAGTAGGTAATTGATAATTGATAATTTCAAAACCGATTATGAAGATTCAACGGGAATTGAATATGATATAAAAAAACCTATAAATTGATTCTGTTTAGACCCTTGATTTTCTTGTACAGTTTTGGGTAGGATTCGATTTGAATGCAGGTCTACCAACTCGCTTGTATTACACAAATGGGTGCAAATTAAAGGAGCAATATTTCCATTTACAAGGAAAAGGCTAAGTCAGCACTTGCACGGCCAGCGAATAATTTTGTTTCTTTCGTTACACATGCAGTTTGGTTTATTATTTTGGATAGGATTTTAGAAATAATATTGGGTAATTGAATAAGAGAGTATTACGAGATAAAATTTAAAAATTTATGAAAAAGCCCCTAGGTTTACTAATTTAATTGAACACCCTAGCATATAAAATTACAAAAACACCCCCACCATCTGTAGTGCCAGATTCCTGCCACCACCACTGAAAAATCACGTTAGGACACAGACCAATCGGATCTGTGTCATAACGCGTCGTTATGGCCTTTTTTAAAGACCAGATCTACGGCCTGCTATGGTTGCGACGGCGGAAAAAGGCCAAAACGATGGCCATCTTTGGTCATCAGCGACGGTCAAAGATATGGCCGTCGTTTTCGGTCAACGATGGTTGACTGTCAGATCTGGCCAGAACAGGCTAGATCGGTGAACTTCCGGCCATTTCTGGTCGGTAGGTAGGTTGTTGTACAGATTCCAGCTACCACCGATGGTGATTGCCAGAATCTGGCAAGTATGGATCACGGGGGTGTTTTTGCTTATTTTTAAACTTTTTTTTAGAGGGTATTTAATGAAATTAATAACTTTATGGGGTCTAAAAGTAATTAAAAAATAGGATAGTATTTTTGGAATAATATGTCAAATATTATTTAGAGAATAAGATTGGAATATGGGCAGCAATAATAAGCCAAATATGCCCGATATTATCCACCTATTGACGGAGCGTATGGCTTTAATTTTTTTTTTTTTAATTATTATATTAAGTGGTAACCTTACCTAGCTTGGCAGCTCTTGGGTCATGCAAAGGGGTAACGTTACCCGCAAAAGTAGTTCTGTTTAGTTAGCCAACCAATAGCTATGCCTAGCTATTTCAACTATCATTCAACCCTATAGTTAATCTCGGTGCCTTTCTTTCTCTACACGTGTTAGCTTTATATATAGCATGGTCGTTTTGACTATAAGGTGTAACTTCAACTGTTCTTTTAAAAAAATAAAAAGAAACACGCACGTTAACAATTACTGATTAAATTATATGGAAAAAGAAAACAACATTATGGTAAACTAATCATGCAAATTGCGAGGAGCACATTTTCTTTATTTATTTAGAATAAAGAGTGATATTGATGTGGGAAGGTCCGTATCCCCATGAAAGTAATACGGTAAACTAAATCCTTTTACAATATAGGTTTGGAATCAGGACAGCCACTAAAGGGATTATCCATTATTAATTTTAGGATTCTAAAAAATTAATCGAAGTGAGCGTAAGTTGACCTGAACACTTATATATATATATAAATCAATTTTAAGTTAGACTTGAGATGAAATGAGTACATAAGAGTCGTATTCTATACCCATTTTGTACATGTGTTGTGTACTAGTGATGAGATCACTTTTCTTGCATTATAATAAAATAGAAATATACAGGAGCAAGCAATACACTTTCACTAAATTAACTATAAGCATGAAGGTGATCATGGCAATCCAAATTAGGTGACAAGTTATACAACTATTACAGACATAACAAGTATATAAAAATTGGATGAGGAAATGAAGTCTCATATCTATAAGCTAGTATATTCTAGAGATCATCGCCTGGAGGCCCACTATATATATTATGAAAAATGTTGACGACAATTTAGTGGAGAACAGTGCTCCAATATAAAGCATACTTTTGCATTTCTCTCTCTTATGATTTCTCCTTCTTTCTAGTTCAAGGTGAAGATCAAAGGCATTCAGAATCAGTGACCTCTTAACTTGAAGCTGCGAATTGAAGGCGCAGGTATGCAAGTCTTATTATATCTCCTGTTAATTATAGTAGCCAAATTGTAATAAGAAGGTTCTACTTTTGATTCTTCTTTAATTCTTGCGTGAAAATTAATTCACTTTTGACATCTTCTTTATTATATATAGAAACTTCACCTGATGCCAATCTCTGCCATGCATGAGCGACTCCTATCCTAGCTGCTTTAATTTCTGCTAATTATTCATATATATTATAAGAAAGTTGAAGTCATTGGGATATATATTTATTCTTGTAATGTTATATATGGTAGGAAGTAATTCTGGATAAGTCTTGAGCTACCGGTCAATTTGGAAAATGGAAGTTCAAGTGCTTAAACATCCTTTTGTGTATTATCTTCTACCCTCCATATATTTATTAATATGCGTTAAAGGTGGTATGATGATACCGGCTCAGAGCTCTACTATTCTCAACCGGAGTAGCTTTCCGGCTGATTTTATATTCGGAGCTGGATCAAGTGCTTATCAGGTAGGCTATAAAATTTGTTTCTTACAAGGAAAATTATATTCATTAATTAACCTTTAATAATCTGTTTTACTTTCATCTTCTCCTTTTAGTATGAAGGAGCAGCAGAATCAGGAGGCAGGAAACCAAGCATATGGGACACATTCGCCATTAATCAGTCAGGTCTCTTATTCTTTCTTAAAACAGTGAAAATAAAAGATTAAAGAATTTGACTACTAAATCATTCGCTATCTAAACAGACTGGCTATAATCTATGGAAAGAACAAAGATATTATTTGAAAATGATGTAAGACCAATAAATAATATTGAGTATATTTGGTGACATGTATAATTTAATTTCTTATTGGACAAGTGCACATGGCGCATAAAAGATTAGGTGAGTGTAATCAATATAAGTAGAAAAAAATGAAGGTAAGGACAAGAATGCCTAGCTAATGCTAGACTGTAAGGTAAAATAGATGGAATGAACTGTAGTTTGTGAAATTTTTATCCTCAATTCAAGTAATAAGAATAATACTACATCAATATCCTTCTTTCATAAACTTTCTCTTACAATTCTAATGTAACAGTTTATAATTGGTCAGTTCATAACCGATCATACATGGGTCCTAAATGAGTTCTACTAATTAATTACAAACTGACCAATTATAAATTATTATATCAAAATTATGAAAGAAAGTTTGCAAGAGAGAGTTGTTAATGTAGTATTAGTCAAGGAATTAAGGAAACTCAACATTCTGCCTCTTTGCATTGTTTGAGAAGCAAATAATCCTAAAAAGACATAATATTACTGTTTCCCCATGATAGTTTACTCACATTCTGTCGCGCCTTGACAGAAAAAATTTTGGATCACAGTAATGGGAATGTAGCTGACAATTTTTACGAGGATTATAAGGTATGACCTCGCTATATATATGGCCGGCATTAATTTCTTTATTGATTAAAGCTAAAGAAAGATAAAAGGAATATCAATTTATAGATTATCCTTTTATTAATTAATTGAAAATATATTTGCAAATATTATATTATAGGAGGACATTGCTTTGATGAAGGAAGTTGGTCTGGACTCTTTCAGATTCTCCTTATCATGGTCCAGAATTTTACCTCGTAAGATGATTTCTTCAAACAATAGTTGCTTTATCATGGTCTTATATATTAATTATAATCTACGAATTAATTGAATAATTTCTTAGTTTATCTGTTATCCTTGGCAAAAGAAACATTATCAGATCAATAAATTTTATATATATAATCACAACCGGTAAATTAAATTACTTCGTTTTTCCAAGTGCATGCTGCCTATATATATACATATATGATATTGTCATCGGAACTTTGTATGTAGAGGGAAAAATTGATGGGGGAGTCAACCAGCAAGGTGTTGATTTCTACAATGATCTCATCAACGACCTCATATCAAATGGTCAAGTTCCATTAGCCTTCCCTTCATCTCACCCCTCATTAGTTTGCTTTCACATGTGCCCTCAGTATCTAATCAAAACTATATTATTTAGGCTTAAAGCCCTTTGTGACTTTATTCCATTGGGATCTTCCACAAGCTCTCCAGGATGAGTATGGTGGATTCTTGAGCTCTGAAGTTGTGTAAGCTAACTTGTCACTAGTTAATATTTTCGTTTTGTCCCTATTTTTTTTTTTTTTTTTTTTTTTTGGGACATTTTTTAATAAGATGGGTGCATGTGTGTGCTAGTTCAATCACATAACGTTAAAACAACCCGTGTAATCTATATGCACATCGTAATTGAATGGACGTATATTCATATATCCATTTCGTCGAAGAAACGTTTCTCTTTTTTTAGTACTATTATTTTACCTTGTTATTCACAATCAATTAATTCTTTATTAGGGATGATTACGCTGATTATGTGGATTTTTGCTTCAAAGCATTTGGAGATAGAGTAAAGCACTGGGTCACTGTGAACGAGCCGAATCTCTTTAGTATGACGGGGTATGCAACTGGTACAGATGCACCTGGTCGATGTTCAAACTATATTGGCAGCTGCCCAGAAGGGAACTCCGGTACTGAACCTTATCTGGTGGCTCATCACCTCCTTCTATGTCACGCAACTGCGGTCAAATTGTATAAAAAAAACTACCAGGTTTGTTTTAATTATTAACAAATACATGAATCCGTATATATACACATAATCAGAATGAAAATATCAGGGATGAAATGAACAAAATATATGTAATGTTTTGCAGGCAAGTCAGCAGGGCGCGATTGGGATTACAGTTTATACATGGTGGACAGTGCCTAAATTCCAAACAATTTCTTGTAAGAAGGCTGCCTCTAGATCTTTTGACTTTTTGATTGGATGGTGAGTTTGATGACCTCAAGTTTCCTCTAGGCCTTAATTTTATCAAGTGAACAACATTACTTTGCATGTATGACTGATGATTATGAAGATTATACTAACTATATGCTAATTAAATGCAGGTTTCTTCATCCAATCGCTTACGGCACTTATCCCGAGTGTATGCAAGTTTTGGCAGGCGATCGACTGCCCAAATTCACAAATTCAGAGTCTGAGCTGGTGAGAGGCTCCATTGATTTTGTTGGAGTAAATTACTATACATCATATTATGGAGAAGATTTAACATCCTATAATAGCAGCGAGCTAAGTTATACCACGGACAGCCGAGTTAATCTCACCCGTAAGACAAAAACTATGAAGATTTTGCATCTTTTTTATCATACATTCATTAATGCTACATGTAATTTGCTGTCACAGACGAGAAAAATGGGATTCCCCTTGGTGAACCGGTAAAATTCTGTGTTTCTGTCTCTCTCTGTCTCACACACAACACATCATTGTTCAAGATAATGGTGTAATGTTCAATTATAAACATCAAAGATGTGGTTAATTTTGCAGACTTCTAGCAGCTGGCTTTATATTTACCCAGAGGGTATACGAAGAGTCTTGCTACATATAAAGAAAAAATACAACCCTCCTTATATTTACATTACTGAGAATGGTAAAATTATTCTACTACTTATACGAGTATTTATTAAAATGTTGCCTCTTTGCTCATGCTGTGTATTACTATAATTTGCTTATGTTTTCAGGATTGGCTGATGCAAATAGCAGTTCATGGACAGTTAACAAAGCCACTAATGATATTTTGAGGATAAAATACCATCGTCTACATCTTTCATCTCTCTTAAAAGCCATCGAGTGAGCACACTGGCCTGTTCATTTAATTAATTGGAGCAGATACTGATTAGTGATAGTTGATATGACTTTGGCTTACATAAATGCAGGGATGGAGTTGATGTGAGAGGATATTATGTATGGTCGTTTCTGGATAACTTCGAGTGGGATTCTGGTTATACTTATCGGTTTGGGATCACTTATGTTGACTTCAAAAACGGATTGAAAAGATACCTCAAAAACTCTGGTTTATGGTTCAAAAACTTTCTTCAGAAGGAAGCTAACGTTTCCACCGCTGCTGCTTCTTTATTGTACTCCGATCAGTGATGTTCCATGATCTTAACTGTAAATTTCATAAGACTGAACTGAATGAAACACAATGATATGAATAATCAATACATGCATATATAGATTTTAGATTATTTAAACATGCCTGTTATTAGATGAGCATGTGCAGCTACTTAAGTAAGAATTTGACTGTTAGCTACTTCAGGTACTGGTGCTAATAACGAATATTTGAAACACTAAAACTAAAATTATGATATAACTAGACATGAGGTCCGTGGCGTTAAGGCTATGTTTATTCAATGTTTTTAAAATAAATTAATTAGATTAAGACATAATAATTGTTAAATTATACAAATTTTAAAATAAATATAAAATTTATATATATACAAACTTGTGTTAAAGATAAAATTAATAATTGTACTTGTATAATCATTAATATCAATTATAAGTAAATGTCATTAAATCATTCATCCAACTTGAGAATATCACCCGAATATTATATGATCTAATTATATTTTCAGGATCATTACCTTGTACAATTGATATTATTTTTACAGACATGTCTTTAATATTCGATGTTAGTATTTTGCAATGAATCGTATATGATATTTAAGATCACCTGAATATTATCAAGATCAACTATTTTAACTTAAAATTTATAATAACCTTCCGTGATTTCTGTAACTTATATTCATTTTCAAGTTGCATTGTGCGGATACATTTATTATATTTTTTTTTTACATTATTATTGGTTTTTTTGTCTCTTAAATATATATTTTCCGTATTGAAGTCCATTTTATATTAAATTGATAATTAAAAAATCAATAAATAAAGTATCCACAAATTGAACTCAAAGTCTATATTATCATGGTTCTTCTCAAATATGTCACCATTTGAAATCTGCAACCAAAGTTTAAAACTTTGTCAAGAAAAGCAAAAAAATTTGCAGGATAACCCACTGGGTATTATTGATAAGTCTATAAATCAATCAAAGAAAGAGAAATCTTATTGAAAAATGTGAACTTTTAAGCAAGAGACTTATAGAGCCAAAGAAAAAAACTGATTTTGATTGTTTAGAAGAGAAAATGAATTATTATTATTATTATTATTTTAGAAATTAAAAAAAATTAAGAATGTTGAGAAGAGAACTCACATAGAAAGCAACAATAACTCCAACAGTATAATCTGAAGGCAACTTAATTGAAGTATTGAAGAAGTCATGAAGAAAAAGGTCCTGTGACACAAATCTATTTGCTGCAATTAGAATTGACCACCACCTATAGAAAAAAAAGCATTTGATGATAGCATCCTAAAGAAACACAATAATTGTAAAACCCACAAATCAAACAACAAAATAAATCCAAAAATCAACAAAAAGATATAAAACAAATACAATTAAAACTACATATCAATATTTGTTTTCCTTAATTGTCATCACTAAAATTGAATTTGTTATATGTGTGTGATGATAAAATGAATGGTTCGGCAGCAGGCCTATAGTTATCCTAATTCATCATATAATATATCAAATTAAAGCCCTATCTTTCTAGTTTCCAAAGATTCAAACCGCTCATCAATTGGATTTTTATTGAGCAAGTTATGACTAATTTGCTACTGACTGTTTAGTGAAAATCGAGAAACAAGGAAAACCAAAATGTGTGTGATGATAAAATGAATTGTTTGACAGTGGGGCTCATCAAAGGTGGTGTACCACAGGAAGGGTAGTGGTAGGAAGTAGGGGAATATTGCCGAATATTTGTTATATAGGAAGTTGAGATTTGTTATGAAGGAATATTTGTTGGAACAGATGGCATGATATGATGGGATGTAGGTGGAATTCAGTTAGAGCAAAAAGGTGACAGGAGAGAATAAAAAGAGGAGGAGAGAAATGGGAAGGCATTAAGAATTAGAAAGTAAATTGGAAGGGAGGCGGCTGACCCTCGAAGTCAGTATTTGCGGAGGTGGCTGACCCTCGAAGTCAGTCTTTTGCTTATCATTTTTTGGATGTACTTTGCATTACTTTTTCAGAGTTGTTTGTTTGTTGAATACTTGTAACGCCCCACTCGAGGTACGTAGCTAAGATTTGCTATTTTGATTGAATGTTCTTGGCTTGCCCTTAATTGAGTTTGTATGTTGTTAATATTGTTTGGTTGGCCCTTGGTTGAAGTGATGTGTTGGGTTGGTTGAGTGTTTACCTTGAAATTGGTTAGGTCTTGGCGAATTTGGGAATTCCAGTCTTCACCGGGGCAAAGAAGAGTCTTCGCCGCGGCGACGTACACCTTGTAATTCTTCGCCGGGGTGACGGAAAGTTCTTCGCCGCGGCGAAGAGTCGGCTGAGTTTTGTGTTGAAGTTTTTAGATATTTTTCCCTAAGGGCAAATTGACCATTCTACCCCTAATTAGCAGGAAAAGTGGGGAGTGAAATGTAAGGAAATTTCATAAAGAACATATTAGTGTGGGGGTGTGAGTGTAAGGAATCAAAGGACAAGGATAGAATTTCCAAGAAAGAGCAAGGGCATTATGGAAATGAATGAAGATATTTTGAGCTAAAAAGGGATTAAGCTTTGTAACCCCTTCATTCTTCATCTTCCACCGCCTCTTCCATTCTCCATTTCCTCTCAAGTTTTCCTTCAATCTTTTAGGGATTCTAGAGGGCTCTTTGAGTGATTTTGGTAGAAAGTTAATCTAAAGCATCCTAAGGTAAGTATTCTTGCTTTAGATGTGAATTTCACCTATTAATGAGTTGAAGTCTTATAGTATGGTTGGTTGAGATTGTAGAGAAAAGACAAGTTACCAAAGGTAAAGAGAAGTGCTAGTGGAATCACTCCATCACAAGTAAGCAAATCCAACTCAAGCTAAAATTTAAGAAATCATTTGAGTAGAGATTTCTTTATGCTTGCATGTATTAAACTTGTTGAGAAATTGAGTTGAGATGAGTATTTGCTTTGTGGTTGTTGAATACACTTCATTTATGAGAAGTGTTGAGATTGCATGATGTGTGATGAGTGAGATGAAATTGAAGGAGATTGAGAAATCTTTTTTAGAAGTGTTTATCCTTGACAGGAATTATAGCTATGTGAGGGAGTTTCCTCCCATTTTGGATGGTTAGAGAAAGAAGTAGAGTTATTGTTAAAGTAGAGTTTTTATATGCACATGAGTTGTTTGATGAAATGCCTAAGAGAAGTATGAGCATGAATAGTAAACCTTAATTCTTGCAACATTGCATATTGGCATTTTATTAGTGCATTAATGAGCATGAACCATCCATACGCGTTAGTTGTACGTTGAGAAGTAGCTTGAGAAAGAGTAGAGAATTTGAGTATAATTTATTCTAAGAGTAATGAGAATGAGAAAACTCCAAGAGTAAAGTAAAAGAGAGAATAAGCACTAGAGAATAAAAACAAGAGTAGTGCTAAACAAGAGAATAGAGTAGGTCGTGCGATGGGGAACCCGTGAGTGATGAGTAGAATCTCACGAGTAGTGGGAGCTTTGTGATCTTCCAGTCGTGCCTCCGATAAGATGAGGTTGTGACACTCGAGAGAGAAAGAGAGAGAATACACTCACGTGGCCAAGGGTTCTGAATCCATGCGTAACCGAGTCCGATCGGCAGAGAATGAGTAAAGGTCACGAGTAGTGGGAGCTTTGTGATCTTCCGATCGTGCCTCCGGTAAGATGGGGCCATGACACTTGAATGAGTATTGGTCATGCAGAGCGGGATTAAGTTCCCGGTCATGCCTCCGGTAAGATGGGGCCGTGACATATGAGTGAGTAGGAGTCACGTAGAGCGGGCTTGAGTTCCCGACCGTGCCTCCGGTAAGATGAGGCCGTGACATTTAAATGAGAAAGAACAGAAAGAGAGAAAAGTATAAGTCACAAAAAGTGGAGTGAGTTCCAGTCATGCCTCTGGTAAGATGAGGCTGTGAAATTCAATGAGAGAGCTATTAGTAAGGTACTATGAGAAAGAGAAATAGAGTAAACGAGAGAGAAATGTAAGGAAAGAATTAAGAGAAAGAGTTATGAGGATAGATGAGTAGAGGATTTACTTACTGAGCCTTTTTGTGCTCACCCTATTGTTTCATTGTATTTTGCAGGATCTAGGTGAGGACGCAGTCGGATGGGCGTCGGCAAGCAAAGAGAAATAGTTACACTGTCCACCATGTTTTTGATGACTTTTTGTATATGATACCTTATTTTGTGTAAAGTATATGTATATTTAATGAAAGAAAAATTTGGGCCCATCTAATTATGTTATTATACATGTATTTTATCATATGTATTTTTATGAGTATATGAGTAGAAATGAGTCATTACAATACTGATAGGATAGGGTTACTGGATATATATTCTATGGATGTATTGTTCTGTTGAGGTTAATATAACAGGGTCCTCTTACTGAACTGTGATTTTGGCTTGAGAGTGTAGATTGTTTGTTGGCAGTATCGTCTTATATGCAGGTCAGGTCCTATCAAGTGGTATCAGAGCAGTGTGGTCTGGGTAATGGTCTCGACGAGGATGGATTCTAGACTCGATAATGTTGAGAAAGAGGTTACAAAGCTGGGAGTAGAAATGGGTACCATCCGGGAGTGTTTGGTGGAGTTACAATCATGGGTACGACGAAAGAATGACGAAGAGGCTGAGAGAGTAGAGGGACATTCAGGAGAAAATGGTCAGTCTCACCATGAAGAAAATGTAAATGGAGCCAGTGGATCTGGGAGTAGTAACCAAAACCGCAATGAAATAGGGGGCGAAAATTAGAGATGCCCATCTTTTCTGGTGAAGATCCTTACGTGTGGATCTTTTAGAGTGGAGCGGTACTTCAGCATCAATGGAATATCGGAGGAAGGAAAGTTGATTGCAGCAGCTGTCTACATGGAAGGAGAAGCTATCAATTGGTTCTAGTGGACGGAATCCAAGACGCCAGCAAGCTCGTGGGCTATGTTTAATCTAGCCCTACTTCAGAGATTTAGTGGATCCTAAGAACTCAACCCATATGAATCCTTAATGGCGATGAAACAAACAAGTTCAGTGATGGAGTTTCGTCGTCAGTTTGAAGCAGTAGCAGCTCTATTGGTAGGGGAAAAAGAAGAGATTCTACAAGCTGCCTTCGTGAATTGATTAAAAACAGAGATTAGGGCTGAGGT